CACTCATACCCCAATGTTTCTAGCAGCACTCTCAACAATAGCCAAATGATGGAAAGAGCCTAAATGTCCATCAACTGACAAATGGATAAAGAAGATGTGGTTTATATACATAATGGAATACTACGTGGCAATGAGAAAGAATGAAATATGGCCTTTTGTAGCAACGTGGATGGAACTGGAGAGTGTTATGCTAAGTGAAATAAGTCACACAGAAAAGGACAGATACCTTATGTTTTCACTCTTATGTGGATCTTGAGAAACTTAACAGAAGACCATGGGGGAGGGGAAGGAAAAAAAAAGTTAGAGAGGGAGGGAGCCAAACCAAAAGAGACTCTTAAAGACTGAGAATAAACTGAGGGTTGATGGAGGGTGGGAGGGAGGGGAGGGTGGGTGATGGACATTGAGGAAGGCACCTGTTGGGATCAGCACTGGGTGTTGTATGGAAACTAATTTGACAATAAATTTTATATTTAAAAAATTTACTTTTTATGTGTAATAAGTGTTTACCAATTTGAAATATATTTATATTGTTGTGATAATAACAATCCAGGGGAGGGGAACATTCCTAATACTTAGAGCCTATGGCCACAGGAAATTGAAATAAATTAATTTCAAATAAAATATAACGATTTCAATTACTATACATATATTCTCGGGAAAAAGTAGAATAGTGTAATCAATAAAAGACTACGGCATAAAGGTACAGTATGCTGGGATAAATTTCTGTGGGGAGAGTGGATTCAGAACGTGAGCTCAAGGGGGAAAAATGCAAACTATCCACAAACTGTTCAAGAAGGACCTCTTTGTGTGCTTTTTAAGGGAAAGATGGCAAAGATAGAAATCATCATGGCATTTACATTCTGCTGAACACATTTTTTTCTTTAAATGCTGTAACAGTTTTATTTTAAAATGTCAGCATTCACATGTTAGAAATGACACTCTTTGATACTTTTTACTCAAACTTACAATCAAGACTTTTAGATGTCAACCTAAATAGAGGTGACGGGGTATTTAATTTTGAGAGCACCTTTTAGGGGGTATGTGACAAAAGGATCGATAGCCCCTAGTCAATGTTCGTTCAAATCTGAGGTTTCAATGAAAGTGTCCTGTCCTTAGGGTGCCTGGGTGGCTTAGTCGGTTACGAGTCAGACCCTTGATTTCGCCTCAGGTCTTGATCTCAGGGTCATGAGTTCAAGGCCTGCACTGGGCTCTGCGCCGGGCAGGGAGACTGCTTAAAAAAAAAAAAAACAAAAAACTGTATCTCAATAAATTAAGAAAATAAAATAAGATAAAAATGAAAAGCAAAGTGTCCGGTCTGGAATCTTACCTGAGACCACTCCATGGCAATCCACTTGGGGCAGTCGAACAGGTTGCAGGTCTGCATGACCTTGGGTTTGGGCGCGTACATGCACTTCCACTCCTCCACCTGTAGTATCTCTCCGTGCATGGACTCCTCCACACACACGAAGCTCCGCCTCTGAATCCCGCCCCCGCAGGACACCGAGCACGCAGTCCAAGGGTTATGTTCCCAGCTCAAAAGCGAACAAATAAAAACACATTATTTGTTTGTCATTGGCTTGTCTGTTTCAAGCTTGCAAACGCGACAGCGAAAAGCACTGCCAGAAGCGTTCCTTGAGCTGTCTCTAGACCATCAATACTAAAGGACGATATTACTAGAGAACCAGAGAATCTCCAGGTCGGAAACTCGTCATCCAGGTATAAAAGGGGGACTCAAATTTCTGACCAACTGCAAGGCCTGAGCTCCCTCTCTAATGGTCGGACATCCCCAGTGACGGGAGACGTGGCCGCTTGAGGCAGTGTATTCCATCCGATTCTGTGACACATCTTCCTTATGGAGTTGAAGTCTGTTTTCCCGTAGCTCCCCGAAAAGGATCTAGTGTCTGTCCCTCTTCTATTTTGGGCTGTTGCTGCAGATACTACAGTTCCTTGCAAACTACTTAGAGCAAATTACAGAGTGGAAAACAGAAACACAGAACTCACCGAGGGAGAGGTTGGAAGTGGTCGTAGGGCATGATCTCTTTAAATCCATCGCTACAAATGAAATCATGGTGACAGTGTCATTTCTAAATCAATCGACATACTAATTTAACCCATACAGATTTGACATCCCAAAAGACAGAGCCCTTTCAGACTGAAGACGAAACATGGCAAGTGCTGTGAACCCTTCCCCAAAACTTCCCACCATCTTTTTTGGTTTTCGGGAACATCCGGGGCACACGCCATCTCCAGTTACACGGAACTACAGAAACCAGTGGTATGAATTAATCAAAGGGAAGAGTGTCTCTTCATTCAGATAAACCTACTTTTCATCATCTAAGAAGGTTATTTTGGTATGTTGATGATATTAACATTTTATCATCTTAGTAGACTCTTTAGAAAGACATTTTGTTTCATAGAAGCTGTCCTTTGAAAAGGTCTCTATTCATAATTATGTTCACCTGGGATTCCAGGAAACGGGTAGTTCAGTGACAGGAAATGAAATCCACTGAGAATGCTTCCTTTTCCATTTGCACACTTCTGCCTCAGCCAGCTGGCAGCTGTCTGGGGGATTCTAGGACTTGATATTGTGGCTGTTATTTTAAGATACTGTAGGAAAGCCAGGAAACTTCCCCAGGCAGTCCAAGTCAGCAGGTACTAAATTATGCAACGGGATAGTTTATGCATCGCTCTTCTGCCTTGGCATTGAAACTTCTTACTTGCTTGAGCAATGCATTATTTATACTGAACTTAATGCAAACGCTTCGAAAGTCAGCACGGGGTAACGGGTGACCCAGTTTAAAAGTGAAAACGGTGAGTTCAAGATTTTTATGACTGGCAGATGGACAAGACATCGTACTTGGATGGAGAGAGCTTCCCTGTTGTGTGTGTAGATGCTCACTGAGGGTCCTTACAGAGGGGTGAATATCAGGGCACATGCACGCACAGCCAGACAGGAGAGTGCAGGGCTGTGTGCGCTGGCGAGCCTCGTCCCCGCTGAGCGGGGCTACGAACGCGGGTAGCTACCACCTGCGTGTGTTCAAGGTCGCACAGTGCAAATGTCGCTCTGCAAAGATGGACTGGTCTTGGTGGCGGTTGGCTGATTTCTTTTTAGAGTAAACACTAAGGGCAATGACGCAGACCTCGAAGGGCAAGGATCCATGCTGCACTCCTTTAGTTTGGGCTTGGGTTTCACATTTTCGGGGTAGTAATGGCAGTAATGGTCAGGAACTACCCTCTTCAAGCGGATATCCACACATTCGGCCGAGTTGAGCTGATAGCCTAATGGGAAAAAGAAAAGGCACCTGTGAATATCGCACTGTGTCGTTTTCCCACAGCAGTGACCCCTTGGCACAGACTCTTCCTCCCCCAGAAGAAACTTAACTCCGTGGTTCTCATCCCTGACTATGCAGGGGAACCGCTGGGAGCTTCTAGCACACAGCAGTGCCCGGGTCCTTACATGGTCCAACTGAGGCAGAAACATTGGGTGGCTCAGTCCAGGAAATGGGTTGGTTTGTGTGCTCTAATGATCTTCAGGTTCTTCTAAGATGATGAAGATGTGTGGCCGAGAGAGAGAGAGAGAGAGAGAGAGAGAGAGAGAGACAACGAGCACGCACAAGCAGGGGGAGGGTCAGAGAGAAGAAGAGACATAATCCCAAGCAGTCTCTGCAACATCAGTGCAGAGCCCAATGTGGGACTCGAACTCACAAACTGTGAGATCATGACCTGAGCTGAGATCAAGAGTCAGATGCTTAACCAACTGCACCACCCAGATGCCCTGCTTAGCACTTTTAACGAGAAAGTGGCAAGGGACTCCTTTACGGAATGCTCAGACCTCGGGGCGGAAGGTCACTTGCTGGCCGGTCTCCCGAATGTCCCCACAGCCCTGCGCCATGGGCCCCCTGTTTCCCCATATTCTGTTTTTACTATTCCCATCCTGACTCCCCCAGAGACCCCTATTTCTTGTTTACACGTTCTCAAATCTGCATGTGCCTTATGCAATGTTGCTTGTGTGTACCTGTTGTAACTAGATAGGTACTTTAAATCTTGTTCTATTGTCTGCTTTTCTCACTCAGCACGACACTGTTAAGAGCCACCCACATGCCCCGGCCGGTGCCTCCTTCCACCGCACAATATCCTGTTGCTTGGGGACACTGCGTTTTACTTGTTTGCTGTCCGGGGGCACCTGGGACACCTCGGATGCCAACGAACTTCTCTAACTGGGGAAGTAAGCACTGTCTATACTGGGAGGAACAAAGCCCATCCCCTACACCGCCCCCTGCCTCAAAATCCTTCAGAGCAGAAGGGATGAAAACTCACTCTCGATTCTGTGAATTTCAAATTGCACAGTCTCTGAGGAAAGTGAGCGTTCCAAATGGATGAGTGCCGTAGATTTAAAAAACAACTCACAAAATGATGCTTCTACTTCCTGAAAGATCTGATCCCAGGCTTCCTGTCACTACATAAGTGTCATGCTAAGTTTAAAAGGAAAAAAAAAAAAAGGCAATTTTTCAAAAGCAGAATGAGCTCTTCAGGAAAAAAAAAAAGGCTCAAAGCTAAGCTCTCAGCCTCAGCCAGTTGGTCTAAAGGTCTAAAAATACATTTAAGGGCCTGATTGCCGAGAGGAATCTGATTTTATAAACCACTAGACAGCATTCCGCAAGCCATGGCTTGGACTTACACGGCGTGGGGAAGGACAGACTGGTATGCGTTATGAAAAGCAAGGTTGAAACCGCAAGAACGAAAATCCAAATGGAGTCAATAAAATGCTACTCGGGTGCCAGTATCTGCCAGAAAGTCTACAATATCAGATGGCAGGGGCAATCAATCCAGTACTTTCTCCAGACTGATCTTCAGAGTCCCGTGTAGATGATTACAGGCAAGCCAGAAAAGCCCAGCATCCCGGGACCTTAGGGAGCAGAGAACTGACCTGCCTGATGACCCAACAGCTCAGAAATGGCATTTACACAAATCATGGCGACTTGATTAGTAATGCAATTAAACTCTGGTAATGCTTTCCTTGTGGGTTTTATGTGTGTTGTGTTTATTTCCTCCAAAACAAGTACAGAACGAGACTATACCTCCTCGAAGCAAAGGAACACCTCTGTTCTAAATGGAAACATACTTCTAGGAGACAAAAAGCATACAATTTAAGGAGAGACAATTAATTTAATTTGAGGGAGGTACAGAGATAACTGAAAGTGAAGGAAACAAGGCAGGTTGCCTTCCTACGTTATGAACCAATGTACTGAAATTCTGCCTGTGTGCAGAAAATGGCAGGCCGTAGAGGGAACCCCAAGAGCAGCCTAAAGTTTCCCTTCTGTTCTTACAGCCACTGCTGTCTCTGGCGGACAGTTTCCCTGCCAGGTGCTCCCATTTATGGCTCCAGCAGGGCTGTCTTTCCTTCTGCACCTGAGTATGAGGCACATCTGTTTCCCTCCCAAGAATTTAACCAACTGACTAAGCCGAGTCCCATTCCCAATGTCCCTCCCAGAGTGAAAAAGCTCCTTTTTTTTCTCATGTGCCTGAATGGGAATGTCTCTCTGAGTGATCAGGTGGGAGAGGGGAGACATTAGAAAGAAAGAGATCTTTGTCCACTTGCTGAGTAAGAATAACCCCCTCCCCCACCGCTGCCCGCTCTTTGCTTTTATTTGGGGGTCCATGGGAGATGGTCATCGCTGGAACCATGGTCTACTTGACTCAAAGGTGGTGGGATTCTGCTTCTGGATATAAAACATGCAGGCAGGGAATCTGTGGGTATGTCCCACTCACCCTGAGAGCATTGAGTCATGTATGTATCTCATAACTCACCACCGGAGAATGCCAGGAGGGGGGGCGGCCACAACCCTGGAGATGATGCTGAATTTGTTTCTTTAGAATCGGACATAACAGGTATTTCCTGAGTACCCACTAACTGCCAGACACTATATTAGGCTCCTTGACCTGTGTCCTCTCATTTTGTTCCCCGACAGTGCTGCAAGGGGCATCATCCTGTTTTATGGATGAGCAGACTGAGCTTCAAAGATGGCACAGAGCTAAGCAGTGGCAAAGCCAAGAAGTGAGTCCAAGTCCCTGAACTTCAGCTCTGTGGCCACCCTGCCTCTTGATGGAAATGTCGTCATGCCATTTTTGGAGAACGAGTTTGGCCAAAATGAGTCTGAGGCCCGGGTTTGGAGAGACTCACTGAATTTATGCAGATCACGGTCTCAACTCCCAACACTGTTTTCCCTCAATCAGCTTTCAACGAGATCAAATGTGTTTGAAGAGTTTCCTTGGCGGTCACTGACGCAAGGTCGGTGACTCAAAGCTCTGAAGGAGTTTCTGCCTCGGAACAATGCTTGTAATGTTCAGCAAAATACATTTTCACTTTCGGTGGAATCGAGAAAAACCGAGAGAATGTTAGCGCTGGCAGGGACTTAAAGATGATCTCCAGCATTGTGTTTAAGTCGTATTTACTTTTGTGATCGTGTTCTATTTACGGCAGGAGATCAGTTTGCCTCCTCGAGGTAAAATTAAATTGTTTTTGTGAATATGTTTATTTAAACATTTTTAAAGTTTATTTATTTTTTATTTATTTTGGGAAAGAGCAAGAGGGGGAGGGGCAGAGAGAGAGGAAAGAGAGAGAGCCCAAGCAGGCTCCACACTGTCAGTGCAAAGCCCAACGTGGGGCTCGAACCCACAAACCATTAGAACATGACGTGAGCTGAAGTTGGGCACTTAACCAGCTGAGCCACCCAGATGCCTCCATTTGAATTTCTTAAAACATCCATTTAAAGAAAAAACCTTAAGTAAATAATAGTGCAGGGGTAACACAGATATGGCAAAAGCAGTGATTAATATGGCTACAGCTGATATCCAAAGATTCTTAAATTTGAATGTGTACCCTAATTTCCTGGGGGGGACTGTTGAAAAGGATTAATGGGCCCCATTCCCAGAGTTTCTCATTCAGTAGGTCCAGGGTGAGGCCCAAGAATCTGCATTTCCACCAAGTTCCCACGTGATGCTGATGCTGTTGGCCCGGGGACCCCACTTTGAGAACCACGGCTGTAGAATCATAATCTAGTGGTCTATTGCCCAAGCCAAGTCTAGGAAGAAGTAACTGGGAAGACTAACTTTCTAGCTGGTTTCCAGAGCCCCATTCAACCCCTAGACCGTTTCTCTTTCCTTCTCGGCAACACAAGCTCCTTCTGGGGTCTGGGCTAAGTGCTCCCCACAAAAGCACCTGCCTGCTGTTTTCACAGGGAGCCTAAATCCCAGAGGAGAGAGTCCTGAGATACAGATTGCCGGGAACCCGAAGGCGTCCCTGATACCCGAAGCCTGGAGTTTAAAGGAGGAAAGGCAGAAGTGACTGGGGACACTCAGCTGGGGGCTCAGAGGGAGCTGTTCACCAGCTGAGCAAACGGGGGTACGTCCTTTACCTCTAATACATTTCTGTTTGCTCACACATAATACAGCCACACAAAGGGGCCTTTCTTAAGGTTGTTTGCAAGAATAAATGTGAAGATGAACACCCCACCACGTGGCTTGACACATGGAAATGCCCAACACTGCAGCCTGGTGCTTTTAGGGGAAGTTATCCATATAAGGCCCTCTAGCAATTCAAGGAACCACGGTTCATGTGTTGGCACGAGCTCAGAACCATTTATTCTTCAATTTTAAAGTTCACTTTATTAAAAGGGACTTACAATGGAGGCTCTGGCGGCCTCCTTTCCTCCAGGCAGACGCTTTCTCCATATTAAACAGCCGATTTCCCGCCACCTGAGCCTGTAAATACGTGTAGCACGTGTGTGGAGCCCAGAACCTTCCTTCACTGTCTGTGAAATCCTTGAACTAAGCGAGCAGCGGGCAGGAGTTTCCCCTTACCACTCAGCGGCTACCCTTTCCCCTTTTGGTAATTTACGCTAGGGCACCTACCTTGAGGGAGGACGGGGTGGAAATCTAAATGTTAGAACCAACGCGACCCCTTCACCAAGCTGCTTGGTCTGTTTTTCAGGTTTTCCGTGGAAAATTAAAAATAATGCATGCTTTACAGACACTTAAGACAAGAAATGCAAGGACACACATAAACAGGTCTCCAGCTTTTTGCTAGAAGTCTGTCTAGACTGTTGCACCTGTCTCCAAGAATAAAGGCAAACACACATCCGTTCACACCACTGCGGTCCAGGCTGCTGGGCAGGATGCCGCGTGATCACTCGTCACCCGTCACCACACCAATGTTACAGTCAGCTTCAAAAAAACACACAGGTACGTCATTTCTAACTCTGAGCTCGGAACATTCAGGAACGAAGTCTGTGCCTCACCTCCTCCACATGTCACAGTGCAGGGGAAGAAGTCGGTTTGTCTCCACTGATGACTGATCGGCTGATAGAAGAAGAATTGGGCCACACTGTCCTTGGCCACCGTGTACCTGGTCTGGACACAGAGAACCATGGTGACGCATCTACATGCAACGGTCTAACACTTCCCACGGCTTTCCAAAGGAGATCAATGTACTTCACTGAGGTATGCAATCTCAGATCTTCAGATCTTTCACAACCAACTCCGGCACATGAAGTTTCCAAAAATTCTAACATGTGATAACACTTCATTCGGGGTTGCCACAGAGGGGGGCTCAGAAGACCTTCAACCAGGCTCCCCAGAGTCATTTTTCCAGACAACTCCATGCCTGGAAGGGAGTTCTCAAACGTGTAGGTGGCCTTTTTTTGTTTGTTCGCGTAACTTCTGTTTTTTTTTTCTACCTGATACATCTGAGTTTAATTTCCATGAGAGCAGGGGCTGAGACAGTCTGGGTTTGTTTGCACCATGCCACATGCCTGGAGTTCTTACAGTTGCAATAATTCTTACACTTTCATCTTTACACAAATCCCTCCGAAAAGGTCTTCTGGAAAGTACAACTGGAGAAACGCAAATGGACACAAATATGTGGTGTTCATACTCGAGCGTCCCAGCATCTAACTAAAGGGAAGGGGTACCACCGTGCGTGAGCCAGCGGACGGAAGAGGGAAGATACTGCTGAGGGATGACACTCAATGAGCACGTTCTCCTCCTGCTTTTTTCTCTTCTGCCCTCCTGACTGAACAAATGAGTGAACCAGGGGAAACTCCCAGAATGCAAGGAGAGGAGAAAAAGAAATAGAGTTCACGCAGGATCCGTCCAGAAATGCCAAAGCCCATAGGGACTTCAAGCGGGGGACCCAAGAGAGCACACAATGAAAAGCCAATATTGGATGATATGATTGCGGAGAATTTCCTAGACCTTGAGAAAGACAGGTGTACTCAGTTTAAAAATGTTCTGGGCAGACATTTTGAAAAAGTACAACAACTGGGATAAAGAAAAATCTTAAAAGTTGTCAGAAAGGAAAAAAAAAAAATGATTAGCTATGAAACA